CTCAGGGCACATACCAGTGAAAGATTTTCTCAAATTACGCAATTTTCAGCACCAGTTTTACACCCATTCTTTGGTGGATGTACATCATTTTTTCTTTGCCATCAGTTTTTCCTATTTGCAAGAACCACAAGAAGATAACTAGTAAACAAATCAACAAGTATCACAAGTATTGACAAAGTGTTGAATGAAATGACATATATTACGGTACTCTGGTCCTAACATTTTTCCAGATATAAATATTCTGATTTCTCTGTACACTTCAAGATTCCTTCCTCAACTGCTGTCAATTATTTTTAGACAACAACAACAAGTAACTCAATCTAATTCCAAAAGAAACTCCAGATATGGAAATCCTACTATCATTGTTGCCTTTCTTTATTAATGAGTTATATTATTCTTGTAAAGATTTTGAACTACTGTATTAATGTACCCATCAAAGTCCTAGTATCTTCTTTAAAGAGATTTGGATCCCAAAATATTGTCAGGTTGAACATCTTTTTATCTTTGCGCAATTTTCTTCTTTTATTGGGTGATTCCCATAAACTTAAAATCTATGACAACATACTTTGTGTCTATGACTTAACGGGAATAAAAATGTAACTACATAGATTTGTGTGTCATAGAACATGTCTTGCTACATGTGCTAAATTTGGACTAAGGAATTTCACTTGATTGAGAACACACGGTGCCAGCAAACAAACACAAGCACATGACTCAAGAATTCTTAAATCCCAGATTCCAAAAAAGTATTTATGTGCTTACATACTTTTGGTTGACATGAAGCTTTGGCAACCAAAAATCTATGTATTTGTGTCAAAAACAAATACCTCTATGTGTGCACATCTTAAATCTAATTCAGTTTTACTTAAATCTATGTTTACAGGAATCACCCATCATCTGTCTCCTCCTTATCTTCACCAATCTTGGCTCAATTCTTGTCTATGAGTGCAAGTTCAATAATTGTTGAACTATCTTCAGCTCTAGTACTCTTAATATTTCCTTGACAAGCTTCACAAACAGCACACGTCCTTGGAAAGAACTCCAGCCTTCTTTGCTTCCAACTCTGCTGCCTGTGAATTGTTTTTGATTTTTCTTTTCACTCCCCAGATTGTTCCACAATTTGCAGTTGTTGTACAAGAACAGGAGTGCAATCACTTTATCTATGGTGCTGAAAATTAGGCTCAGTGTATCCCTATGTCTTTTCTGCTTGAACTCATTTTGTTTAGGACACAACACCCCTAAGATCCATCTTATGAAGTACTTGAATTCCAGAGTATCCTCTCTTCTGTTGCAGCTCTGTTTCAACTTGAATGTTCCTGCTCCATCATCTCCTTCTGTTCTGAAGCAATTAGCATGAAATGAACCAGGTGCCAAACTGTTTTTTTGGTCATCTACTATTGGTAACAAACAGCAAAGGATATAAGTTAGATACAAACTCACCCACTTGCATGAACAACAATATTCCTACCACCTTCTTCTGCTTCCCCTTGTATTTTTTCATTGCCAGAGTCTACATGTTTTGCATGCGGGCAGTGATTGCCCTGTTCATAGTTCCTCCTCAATGAGTTACAG